TTTTGTTCTTTTCGGAAAGCAGACACTCCACTTTTTTACATGCTAGTACTGAGGTGGTTAAATCTGGTTTTTGGGTGGCAGACGGCAAGCGAATTTAGTAATGTTCGGAGGACCAGTCAGATACATCATATGCACATGAATCATGTACAGCTGCTTTGCATCTCATTATAAGGTTGCATATTGCTGCCATGAATATAAAAGGTTGCATGTTTGCACATTGCTCAGTGTTTCTCAACCTTTTTTTGAGTCAAAGCACACTTTAAATGTATGCATAACACAGAGGCATGCCTTACTTTTTTTTCAGTGCAGCGGGATGCAAAGCAGAACAAACGCCTCTCACCCGCTGCGCCTGTAGAACTGAATAAATTGTCACTTGTGACATCTCAATAAAGTTAAAAAAAAAGTATACTGTGTGATGTGCCAGGATTGGGGCAATGGCACTGTGTCAGGCACTACACACTAGCCACTGCATGTTTTGCGCACTGGCTGGGTTGGCCTGGCCCTAAATGTTAGCACTGCCTTGTACCTGTGCACAATAGCCAAGTCTACCACTTATATGCAGTGTGGTTGAAAGAAGAAGTGTATGCGCGACATTTTTCAATTGCAACACACAGTATTGCGGTACTGTGAGTTGCGACACGGTCGAGCTCACTATGGTTAGGAGGTGCGTCTGGCACCGCAACACACTTGACCCAATGTAATGCACAGCCTTGGTGTGAACGGGCCCTTACTGTGACGGGAAGAATTGAAACTGTGCAACTCCAAAGTGTCAAGCATCAAGAATGTGGATCGAGCACAGCATCCGTCCGTCCGTTCCCCCCTCTCCCCTCCTCCTTGCAGTATCCAAATCTTAAGCTGTGGCCTCCGACAGTGTCTTTAGCGACTGATGCCGTAATCAATTGCTAGGGATCGGACGGGTGCCTTGTGAGATGTCTGCTCGCTCCCAACTAATGACATAGTTGAATGCGGACAACCAGCAAAGTATGCTTACTTTGCTGCCTCTCCCCTGGCTGTGCAGCACAAGCTACTGCCCAGGGAAAGCCGCCCCGACAGCTTTGTAGCAAGCTATGACATCACTAGTTAAGATTTTGAGAGTGAGAGCAGGGAAGAGGTGGGAACAGAAGGACGCTGTGCTCGATCCACATTCTTGGGCACTGACACCGCGGGCATTTTCGTTTTAATTTTGCCGCAGCACCCCCAATGGGCTTAGGCAGCACCCCAGTTGAGAAACACTGCTCTACCTACAAGAGGTAAAGAAGCATGAATGAAAACAGAGTTGGGCTATTCCGTATTGTGTAGTAGAAAATAAAACGCTTGTTCCTGGCTTTTTACTCACAAGCTTTTCTCTCTCATTGCAAAGGAGATCCCTTAACCATGGTTGAGAGCTATGCCTAAAGTGTACAAGCCATCAGCAGCTGTTGTGGGAGGAAGGGAAGGGTCGCATGTATGTAAACATAGCGAGTACAGAGCCACTCTAATTTTCTCTTTTCATTTTGTTTGTAATCTGCGCTGTCTAATGGCACTGGCGCTGTCTAATGGCACAAGATAAACGGAAGGATGTCTTTTTACAGAGCTCCAGAAATTTGCATCCAGCAAGCCGCACTTTTTTCCAGTGGTGTGCTATGAAGGTGGTTAATGAATGTAGAATACTAAAGCCAAATACTGAAACTTTCCTCCACATAATGAATGCTTTATTATTAAGATCACTTTAGTTGATACCATGTCCTAATTTATTTTCCTCTACTCCACATTATATTTCCTTTCTTGTAATTTCAAAATGAACCCATCTGGACCACCTTTTTTTAAATAATTAATGAGTAGGCATCGGCCCTTTCTTGCATCACTGAATCTACAAATTGTTGGCGTTTCTGCAAGGAAACACTTTAGACCTCATTCTTACATTTGCTCTAAGTATAGGCATATTGTGTTACATTAATACCTAGTCAGTGTCTGTCTCCATTAAGAAGACACTAGATGTCTACAATATGGTATACTTGAAAGCATAGCTGCTCATTTTACCTCTGAATCCTCTTACATCACACTATTCACTATCATGATAAGCTTCAATCCCCCGTGACAGCACTCGACTTAGTGCCCCTATTGATATCTTGTCCTTTTACAGAGGCATGCAGATAATCAGCAATGCAAGAAAGGTCCATTCCCCAAAATACCTTGTGTCCCCCACTATGGATCCCGACATACAATAACAGGTTACACAAGTTGAAAATCTTATCTTGTAAAAAGGCAGTTCATAATTATTCATGATAAAGAACTATTGTCACGTACCTGATGGAGCTTGAGATGAAGGTCAGAGGAGTCAGGAGCAAGCCGGAGTCAAAACCAACAACTAATAAACCAAGGAACAGACACAGGATACTAGGCACAAGCTGAAAGAGTACTCAGCACTGGAGACATGGAGGAGCTGAGTTTAAATAGCCCGTTTGGCGCCACAACACGTCGCAGATGCGCGCACGTGACGTGCTGCGCGCACGCGCCGTGCTGCGCGCGC